TTTCTATGAATATGCCTTTGAATGAGCATGACGACTGTTTTATAAAAGATATAAACATATATCATACTCGGCAATAGGGATAGTCAGTGGAAAGAACTTGGGACAGGTGTGTACAAAGTTACGCGCAAGACTCAGACTTGTTTTAAGCGAATTCCTGAGAAGACGACCATAATTATTGGTAATGAGGATACTTTTATTATGGAGTAGATTAACCATCTTGGTTAGGGGGATATTTTTTAGAAGGGAATTATGGAGGATACTAACCATCTTGGCTAGGGGGATATTTTTCTTAGAAGGAAACTATGGAGGAGACTAAACCATGCTTGGCTCAGAGGGTGCTTTTTTTTGAAGGAAATTATGGAGGAACTAACCATATTGGCTTGGAGGATATTTTTTTAGGAGGGAATTACCGAGGGGACTAACCATCTTGCTTAGGAGGATATTTTTTAAAAAGGGAATAATGGAATAGAACTAACCATCGTGGCTAGGAGGATATTTTTTTTAGAAGGGAATTACAGAGGAGACTAACCATCTTGGCTAGGAGAATATTTTTTTAGAAGGGAATTATGGAGGAGAGGAACCATCATGGTTAGGAGGATATTTGTTTTTAGAAGGGATTTATGGAGAAGACTAACCATCTTGGCTAAAATGACATTTTTAGAGGGAATTTATGGAAGAGAGACTAACTATCTTTGCTAGGAGGATATTTTTTTAATAGGGAATTATGAAGAACACACCAAGATTTTAGGTTGAAAATGGACTGGAATATTGATGTTTAATATGTCGAGTTCCACTTGGCAAATAAAATGAACTACTAAAGGGTTGTTCAATTTGCACTGAAAGTGATCAATACTAATATTTGAAAAATCACCCACCAGAATGTCAAAGGTTGGACACAATTAACAGATGTTGCAAGACTGGACTTAAAAAACACACAAACCAGGGACTAAGCGTAAAGTGATACTGGTAAGCTTTAAGTGTATTGTCTCCATGCATGGACAAAAGAGGGCGCTTTATCAAACAAGCAGGAGGCCGGGAATGAGGGACACTTCACTGGTTCACTCATGCTGGTTACGTGTATTTGGTACCAGCATTTATAAGCCACGATGGCGCCCAAATGGCCCTCGTTTATAGTTTTCTCTGTGGGGGGGGGGGGGGGGGTGCTTGAGCGCAAGGAGGAGATTCTACCTTCTCGTTTGAGCGTAGTGACTTCCTCCTTGCTGATCTTCCAAGGAAACTTCTCCGTGGTCTCGCCTGCTTCCTCATCCAGCATCCAGGGTTTGGACAGCTCCTTGAACCGTCTCAGGCTCTTACTTCTTGGGCTTAGTGTTCAGGTCGGGATGACCTCCACGTCCGAGCAGTTGATGCGGAACTTGCTGAGCATGTTGGCCATGTTCATCTTCTCCCTGTCCATTTGCTCCTTCTTGCCCGTGGTGGCAAAGACGCGCAGCTTGCATTTCTCCAGTTGGATTTCATGGAGATGAGGTGAGGGGATGAGTAGGGTCAGCCTGGGGGTGGTGGAGGGGTGGGGGCGGAGGTTGGGGGGGGGGGTTCACAAAAAAAATGATACAGAGCATTATTTCCCTTTGACATAAAGCAAGTGTTTCCTTAGACATGCAGCCATCCAGAATAACCTGAGAGATCTCTGAAAGCTCCCTGAAATGATTAGGACACTGAAAAAAATAAAAAATAAAGCCAACCAAGAACAAAAAGTGTGGTGTTTTCTATTAGGCCAAAAAAAAAGTCGTCTCTGGTCGGCGCGCGCGTCAATTTTAATCATGCGCGTCAATCTTTTTTTCCAACAGCGCCCTCTATTTCCGCATCTCCTCAATTTTTTTTTAACAAAGAGCACCAAGGATTGGAAATTGCTAGAGAGCACCATCGAGAGCACCAAGGCAAATTATGGAGGACACCAATGTACATGAGGACACCAAAAAAGCAAATAGTACCCCACCTTGGGCCAAGTTCGCGCAAAGGACTATAGTTGACCAATGGTTAAAAGAAAATACAACATTTGCAAACATCAAAAATAAAACTACCAAATCATTTTGAAATACCTTGCTGGACTGTTAGTGAATAACAGTGTAAAAGCATCCTGTAAAATCATGGCACCTGGTATACTGTCATTTTCAAGAAAAGTGGTATTTTTTGTACCAATTTCCAACGCTGATCGGCCGATCAGCGTTGGAAAAAACTGGCTTTTTTCCAAATACTGGCCCCAGTTGACCATCGCACTTGTTTGCAATCGATTACACACCTATGAACGGTACAAGCAGCTAGACTGGTTCCCTGACCTTACAATTCCCCAATATATGTAAACTGCTCTGTTTCTTCTTAAATGGAGTCAGGGAACCAGACTACAGGAAAATGATTTGTTTTTCTTGGTTTTTATAGCATTTTCGAACCCAAACCTCAAAAAAGTCAGTGTAACTATATTTGCTTATATTTCCAACCCCCCAATTCCATCCATTTCTGAAAATTACAGCAAAAGCAAATGATGTATATTCCCTTAAACTAACGTTTTGCCCGAACTCTGTCTAGTCGACGATGGTTGACTATGTAGTCGACTATTTGAAACCAGCTTACTGGGGTTGGTTGCTTCGCTGGTAACCAATAGCCGTGCGTATTCATAATGCTAGCAGAGAGCCAGGATCCGAAAGTTTTGCGATGACATTTTGACCAGCATTTGACTAGAGACGTTCGCACGTTGCTATCAGTGCGCAGGCGTAAGGTACGTCACAAATCAACCACTAGTCGACTAATGGTCCTTGCCCGAACTTGGCTTATCTGTACAATCCAAGCTTGAAAAAAAAAAGCCACGTCCCCGCCCCGCGTCAATTCCGGAACTTTGGTCTGACCAGAGACAAAATATTTTTTTTTGGTCTACTATAAGAAACAACTGTGTGGTAGGGTAGGTAAAAATCTGTTTTTGGGGGGGGTGGGGGGGGGTTGACATTTTGACATATAGCCTGAAAATATAAGGTGGGATGATTAGTCATTAAAATTTACTTTTTGTCTCTATTTTGCATGCATTAGTTAACATGTGAATCATTCTGCACTTCTGACCAACTTACACAAAATAAAAATAAAGTTTATAGTTTTCACTATAGAAGGGGGGGGGGGGTGCTTGAGCGCAAGGAGGAGATTCTACCTTTTCTTTGAGCGTGGTGACTTCTTCCTTGCTGATCTTCCAAGGAAACTTCTCCATGGTCTCCAGGCTGCTTCCTCATCCAGCATCCAGGGTTTGGAGAGCTCCTTGATGATTGTGCTGGTCTTGATCTTACCCAACCCACCAATCTAGACTGAAACCAATCAGGAAGGAAAATTTGAATGCATTTGCTCTAAATAAAATTGTGTTCAGGTCTTGGAAAAGACCAACGTTAGTGCTGAAAAAAAGCGAGAAACCTCGACAAATCTGGTTTAATGATCTTGTTATACATTTTGCAACTTTGACTCAATTCTTTAGAGACCTGCTTGCATTTACACAAACTGTTCATCAAAATTCATTCCGCAAAGTCTGTGAGTACACATTTCGGTTCTCAAAATACTCATCGAAATATTCTGCTCACCCTGTATGTTGAAATCACAAAAACTAGGTACTACGCGTTAAGTTACGGAAGACAGATAGTGCCACTCAATGAGTGTGAATATTTTTCTTTGGTGCGTGTGGGAATATTTTTTTTGTACAGCGGCTGCCACTTATTATCTGACGGCCGCCACATAATAAGTGGCGGCCGCTGTACAAAAAAATAATTTTTCACACGCACCAACGAAAAAATATTCACACTCATTGAGTGGCACTATCCATCTTCCGTATAAGGTGGGTACTGGGAAGAGCTCTAAGTGTATTGTCTCCATGCATGGACAAGAGAGGGTGCTTTATAGTCAAACAAGCAGAAGCCGGAATGAGGGACACTTCACTGGTTCACTCATGCTGGTTATCGTGTATTTGGTACCAGCATTTATAAGCCACGATGGCGCCCAAATGGCCCTCGTTTATAGTTTTCTCTGTGGAGGGGGGGGGGGGGGTGCTTGAGCGCAAGAAGGAGATTCTACCTTCTCGTTAAGCGTTGTGACTTCTTCCTTGCTGATCTTCCAAGGAAATTTCTCCGTGGTCTCCCCTGCTTCCTCATCCAGCATCCAGGGTTTGGACAGCTCCTTGAACTGTCTCAGGCTCTACTCCTTGGGCTTCTTGTTCAGGTCCGGGATGAACTCCATGTCCGAGCAGTTGATGCGGAACTTGCTGAGCATGTTGGCCATGTTCATCTTCTCCCTGTCCATTTGCTCCTTTTTGCCCGTGGCGGCAAAGACGCGCAGCCTGCATTTCTCCCAGGTGGATTTCATGGAGATGAGGTGAGGATGAGTAGGGTCACGCCTGGGGGGGGGGGGGGGGGGGAGGGGGGGCGGAGGTGGGGGGATCACAAATAAAAATTATGCAGAGCATTATTTCCCTTTGACATAAAGCATGTGTTTCCTGAGACATGCAGCCATCCATAATAACCTGAGAGATCTCTGAAAGGCTCCCTGAAATGAATTGGACACTGAAACATATAATAAAATAATCAGGCCAACCAAGAACCAAAAGTGTGGTGTTTTCTACTACATACAAAAAACAACTGTGTGGTAGGGTAGGTAAAATCTGTTTTGGGGGTTTGACATTTCAATAGCCTAAAAATATAGGGTGGGATGATAGTCATTAAAATTTACTTTTTTTCTCTACTTTAATTTGCATGCATTAATTAACATGTGAATCATTCTGCCGACTACTGACCAACTTACACAAAAATAAATATAAAGTTTATAGTTTTCACTGTGGGGGGGGGGGGGGTGCTTGATCCCAAGGAGGAGATTCTACCTTCTCTTTGAGCATGATGACTTCTTCCTTGCTGATTTTCCTAGGAAACTTCTCCGTGGTCTCCAGGCTGCTTCCTCATCCAGCATCCAGGGTTTGGAGAGCTCCTTGATGATTGTGTTGGTCTTGATCTTACCCAACCAACAGCACAGAACTCCATCTTGGGCAAAATCTCGTCCTTGTACCAGCCTTCAGAAAAAGAAAAAAAACAGTCAATTGTTATTTAATGATCATTAACTTGGTTATCGTTAAGATCGGAGTAAACCTGAAGTTAAGACAACCTAGATATACCTCACGGTATACCAAACGTTAAATCTGACACCGTGGCAGCAAGGAGATTTCCACCTTTCTATGAATATGCCTTTGAATGAGCATGACGACTATTTATAAAAGATATAGACATATATCATACTCGGCAATAGGGATAGTCAGTGGAAAGAACTTGGGACAGGTGTGTACAAAGTTACGTGCAAGACTCAGACTTGTTTTAAGCGAATTACTGAGAAGACGACCATAATTATTGGTAATGAGGATACTTTTATTATGGAGTAGATTAACCATCTTGGTTAGGGGGATATTTTTTAGAGGGGAATTATGGAGGAGACTAACCATCTTGGCTAGGGGATATTTTTCTTAGAAGGGAACTATGGAGGAGACTAAACCATGCTTGGCTCGGAGGGTGCTTTTTTTGAAGGAAATTATGGAGGAGACTACCATATTGGCTTGGAGGATATTTTTTTAGGAGGGAATTACTAAAGGGACTAAACATCTTGCCTAGGAGGATATTTTTTAGAAGGGAATAATGGAATAGACTAACCATCGTGGCTAGGAGGATATTTTTTTAGAAGGGAATTACAGAGGAGACTAACCATCTTGGCTAGGAGAATATTTTTTAGAAGGGAATTATGGAGGAGAGGAACCATCATGGTTAGGAAGATATTTGTTTTAGAAGGGATTTATTGAGAAGACTAACCATCCCGGCTAAAGGACATTTTTAGAAGGAATTTATGGAAGAAACTAACAATCTAGGCTAGAAGGACATTTTTTTAAGAAGGGAATTATGGAGGAGACGAACCATCATGGTTAGGAAGATATTTGTTTTAGAAAGGATTAATGGCTAGGAGGATATTTTTAGAAGGAAATTATGGAGAAAGCTACAACCATCTTGGCTAGGGGAATATGTTTTTAAAGGAATTAATGAGGATATTAACCATCTTGGCTAGGAGGCTATATTGTTGTTTTTTCTTTTTTGTGAAATTGTTTTATAGAAGAATATTTCATCAAGTATTAAATATCGTGACAAAGGACGAATTAGTTATAATGCAGGCTAGGGGGCCTACTTTGTTAATGAGGAAAAAGGATTTTGATATCTGAAGGAAGGAGGTTAATGGAAACATTTTCCAGATCCCAAACCATACCTGACATCGCACCCCCCTCCCCCAGCCAAAGCTAGATCCACCCCTGTTTAGGATTTCACGCTAGTTTCTGCTATAGTGAGTAGGTTTGCGTAATTGTGAAGTAAGTGCCCTTAGATTAGCCACTCATTATTTTCATGGGAATCGCCAACACTACAACAGACATTTTTGCATGACACTTAGAAATTACAGCTTTTGCAAAAGTGTAAACAATCAGTTACAGGGGATAACTTCTGTGCTTACAGGGATAGCGCAGGATTTCTGTGCTAGTGTGCTAGATCATCAGCACAGAATTGTGTGCTTAAACCATGAAATTGAGTCTATTGAGTTAGTAGTGGCTTTGTGTACTTACATTACAATGAGCTGATCCTCCTGGGAATATTGGAGAAGCAATTCACAGATCCGCATCCGTATGTTGGACTGAAAGAAAAAAAAGATTTCAGGCGAAAAAATGGAGTGATTTATTGATATTTAATAAAGTCGAGTTCCATGCACTTGGCAAATCAAATGAACTGAGAGTTGTACGGAAAAATGGATTGAAAGTGATCAATCTCATTATTGAAAATCACCCACCAGAATGTCGAAGGTTGGACACAATTAACAGATGTTGCAAGACTGGACTTAAAATCACACAAACCAGGGACTAAGCGTAAAGTGGATACTGGGAAAGCTTTAAGTGTATTGTCTCCATGCATGGACAAAAGAGGGCGCTTTATAGTCAAACAAGCAGAAGCCGGAATGAGGGACACTTCACTGGTTCACTCATGCTGGTTATCGTGTATTTGGTACCAGCATTTATAAGCCACGATGGCACCCAAATGGCCCTCGTTTATAGTTTTCTCTGTGGAGGGGGGGTGCATGAGCGCAAGAAGGAGATTCTACCTTCTCGTTGAGCGTAGTGACTTCCTCCTTGCTGATCTTCCAAGGAAACTTCTCCGTGGTCTCCCCTGCTTCCTCATCCAGCATCCAGGGTTTGGACAGCTCCTTGAACCGTCTCAGGCTCTCAGTCCTTGGGCTTCTTGTTCAGGTCCGGGATGACCTCCACGTCTGAGCAGTTGATGCGGAACTTGCTGAGCATGTTGGCCGTGTTCATCTTCTCCCTGTCCATTTGCTCCTTCTTGCCCGTGGTGGCAAAGACGCGCATCTTGCATTTCTCCCAGTTGGATTTCAAGGAGATGAGCTGAGGGATGAGTAGGGTCAAGCCTGGGGGTGGTGGGAGGTGAGGGCAGAGGTAAGGGGGGTCACAAACAAAAAGTATTATTTCCCATTGACATAAAGCATGTGTTTCCTTAGACATGCAGCCATCCAGAATAACCTGAGAGATCTGTGAAAGGCTCCATGAAATGAATTGGACACTGAAACATACATTAAAATAATAAGGCCAACCAAGAACAAAAAGTGTGGTGTTTTCTATTAAATATAAAAAACAACTGTGTGGTAGGGTAGGTAAAAATCTGTTTTGGGGGTTTGACATTTCTATAGCCTAAAAATATAGGATAGGATGATAGTCGTTAAACTTTCACTTTTTTTCTCTATTTTGCATGCATTAGTTAACATGTGAATCATTCTGCACTACTGACCAACTACCTGATTCTACCTTCTCTTTAAGCATGGTGACTTCTTCCTTGCTGATCTTCCAAGGAAACTTTTGGTCTCCAGGCTGCTTCCTCATCCAGCATCCAGGGTTTGGAGAGCTCCTTGATGATTGTGTTGGTCTTGATCTTACCCAACCCACCAATCTAGACGGAAACCAATCAGGAAAGAAAATTTGAATGCATTTGCTCTAAATAAATTGTGTCCAGGTCTTGGAAAAGACTAACGTTAGCGCTGCAAAAAGCCAAAAACCTGGACAAATCTGGTTTAATGATCTTGTTATACATTTTGCAACCTTGACTTAATTTTTTAAAGACCTGCTTGCATTTTACTCAAACTGTTCATCAAAATTCATTCCGCAGAGTCTACTTCAAGCACTCAACTGTGAGTACACATTTCGGTACTCAAAATACTCATCGAAATATTCATTAAAATAATTCACCAGAGGTACACAAGACTTGTAAAAAGGTACTCAACTAATACAAAACCTCAGGATTCATTGAATCGACTCATAAAGTAGTACTCAGTAAAAAGTAGTCTACTTGTCAAAAAAAAACTACTCAACTCATACTCGACTTATCGCAGACTGCTTCACTCGTCAAGCAGACTCGACTTAAAAGACTGAAATTATCAAACAGTACCTCAATCCATTTAAAACTGGTGTTCCAGATTCCCTAACCTAACTCAACTAAACTCAACTTAAATAGATTCAAGTTTCAAACACGGGCACAGTTCTTGTATTCATTTTCCATTGATTAGATACTGGAGTCAATCTGAACGACTGCAACACTTAATCTTTGGACGACTTTCATGTGTAGTTGCTCCTCAATGTTTCAAACGTCAAACTTAATTCAACTCTTTGGAATAATTTAGTTCGGCACTTCTCTGAATGCTAGTCTGAAATGCGTGTAGTTGTCAAAAGGTACACAACTCATCAAAATGCAGAAAACTTGAGCTATCCACGCATACTCAGGTCTGACCCTGATCCCCCTCATAAGCCTACCTGCATGAGTGCCTGTGCCCCGGTTCTTAGCGTAGGGCTTGCTACCATGGCTGGGAATGCCTTGATCTTCTGAACATCCACCCATTTCTCCTGAGAGTCTGTCAGAAGCTCCAACCAATGTGGACTCTGCTCACCCTGTATGAAAGGCGGGACAAAATGTTTCCCCTTAAAGCTTTAAAGAAAATAATACTCTACTAAAATAATAATTAAAAATATGGCAAGATTACCATGTGCGAAGTTCACTAATTTTCCTCTGTACTGACTAACAAGCCCCCAGATGGAAAGATTTCCATATACGAAGTTCACTCAACACTCTGTGTACAAACCCTATGAGAGTGGACTGAAAAATTATGTGTTTTCTAAGAAAATGCTTGTATTTTCTCACTGCTCAAATTGACTTGATGACATGAAATTGCTATCTGGGGGGAAAGATTTCCATATATACGAAGTTCACTAATATTTCTCTGTATTGACTGTTCTAACAGTAACAAGCCCCCAGAGAGCAATTTAGGCCGACATGTACAGTATAGTCGTGTTCCCTAACGTGGCGCACTTCGAAGCTTACCCAACTTTCCTCGTGTAGTGTTGCCAAACCTCTTTGTTGATAAACCTCAAATTCATGCAGTGAAATACTGGTACTTTTACCTTTTTAATGCTTGCCATTTAACCTCTGTGAACAATTTCGGTTTCATAAAATTTAATCCGAAATGCAAAAACGGTCTTGTCCGGAAACTGGGCACAAATTGGCGGAGTGTTCCCTAATGTGGCGCACTTGAATAAATCTCAGAAAATTCCAAAATAACATTTAAGAATTTCTGTAAACTTCATAAATTCTGATAAATCATTATTATCTTTACTTACAAACCCAGCCAGATGTTTGTCAGAAAATTATTTTCTTATTTTTCGGGGCATTTTCAAAGGGTTCACTTTGCACTTGAAAATCACGCCAAAATAATGTTTTCTTTTAACTTTGTAACGGGTAAATAAACTCGCGATTTATGAACGGGAGTGTTTAGAAATTGATGAAATTTCACTTTCAGTGAAATTTCAGTTAAAAGTTTTGCTCTAGCTAGGCGCTACAGGCGAAAAATAAAAGTGAGCCACGTTAGGGGCCGCGCCACGTATAGGGTACATCAACAATATATCAAAGTCAATTTGAGCAGCTAGCACTATAGCAGTGAGAAAATACAAGCATTTTCTTAGAAAACACTTATCAGTCCAATCTCATAGGGTTTGTACACAGGGTGTTACGTGAACTTCGTATATGGAAATCTTTAATCCGCTCTGCCTACTATACTAATTGACTAATTGAAGAGTGAAATTGAATAAAAAGTCTAGACGTGACTTACCGGGTACGTTATCGAGTTGTCTGCTGCGCTAGTTGGACAATAATAATGGGATATCATCAAACAACAGGCGGCGCCCTTCAAATTAACGGTGTCAAGTGACAATCTCATAACCCATTAATTCCCCGCATTAACTAAACAAAAATAAAAATGGATAACGAAACCATTTCCCAATTCCTAAGCAAAAAGAAAAAAGGATAACGAAACCCACTTCCCCAATTCATAATTCTTATCTGCTTTTGCAAATGTACTCTTCAAATGCTCTGCAAATTGACTTACAAATGAAAAAGATAAACAAATTGCACTGATTTGAAATTGCGTCCAATAATTGATCTTGATATAGGATAGGACTAAAAAAATGGAAAATCGACGGGAACACTTGAAGAAAAAATTACATAGGCCTACGATTTAAAGAAAATACAGTTAATTGATTGCGAATTCAATCCAAGTTCAAGTCACTTTTATGTAAAGACAATAATTCCAGAAAACAAATTTGCACTGATTTAAAATTACGGCCCATTATTGACTGTGATATACAAGACAATATATTTGAAATTCGACAGAAACCGTTGAAGAAAAAAAACAAAACAACAAAAACGAAGAGGACATGTTTATAAGAGTACTCCCGTACATTTACCAACATCAATAGCCAAAAGAAGGCGCGCTACACAAGTACTGGTCACCACCGTAAAGACTTCATCAACGTGGATCACGATCTGCCCAAACGAAGTCGGCATTAAAGTTGAAAACAGACTTTGTGGAGACGCTAACTCAAGAACAACACAATGCACTGTGTTGAAATTTCGTTCAATAATTTTTAGGGATATCGGAAGACAAGTGGTTTGAAAATCGACGGGAACCATTAAAAAAAATGCAATATGATCTAAGGAAATATACAGTGTACTAATCGCGAAAAATTTGATGCGAATTCGAGTCAATTTTATTGGAACAAAAAACAGCACTCATTGTGGAGACGATAACTCAAGAACAACGCAGTGCACTGAATTGAAATTTCGTTCAATAATTGTTCGGGATATAGGACACAAATGCTTTGAAAATCGACGGGAACCATCAAAGAATAAATTTAATATGATTTCAAAAAATACAACGTACTAATCGCGAAAAATTCGATTCGAATTCGAGTCACTTTTGACAAAAATAAAGCACTCTTTGTGGAGACCAGGAGACCGTAACTCGAGAAAAACACATTGCACTGATTTGAAATTGCGTCCCCATAATTGACTGTGACACTGAAATTCGACAGAAACCGTTGAAGAAAAAAATTAAAGAACAAAAACAAAAACTACAGTGTGTATAAGGAGGGCTTTCCCGTACATTTTACAAACATCGATGTCTTCTAAAAGAGGGCGCGCTACATAAATACTGGTCACCACCTTAAAGACTTCTGTCAACGTGGATCACGATCTGCCCCAACGAAGTCGGCATTATAAGTGAACAAAAATAAACTCAATCAGCTGGCCAAGCTTAATTCAATGCGTCATTTAAGTTTTGAGATGTCCAGCTGGACTATGCAAAAGTGAGGCAAATGTTCTGTTTCGACTGTGAGTGCAGCCTATCGCCAAGTTTTTCTCAATGTTGACACAAGACCGTGACTGTTGAGGTAGAGAAAAACAATATATTGTCTCATGTTTGTCTATTTTTCATGACTAGTTATCTGACTAGAATTCAATTCAATGCGTCACTTAATTTTTGAGATAACGTGTCCAGCTGGACTGTCGTTTCTATGCAAAAGTGAGGCAAATTTTCTGTTTGGACTGCGACTGCGCAGCCGTATCGTCAATTTTTTGGTATATTCTGTTTAATATTTTCTAACTCCGAGTCATTTTATTTTATTTTTTCAAGTTTTCAAAGAAAATCGAATAACGATTCCCACAAGTGGAAAGGAAGTGGGAATCGTTATTCGTTTTCCGTTTTGCTGTCGAGAATGGATTTTGGATTCGAAGTCCGTTATTCGTTTTTCT